CCCGATCTACCAAGCTCATTCCACGGACTACCGTGACGAAGCTGCCTTCAACTTTCACCTGGGCTACCCGTTCCTGAACTATGACTTTGCCCTTGCAGACGATGGTGCGGCAGAGACCGCCTTCATGGCCGCGTTTGACGAGCACGTGGCTCTCCAAGAGGAAAACTACCTCGTGAACCACGAGGAATCCAAGCGCCATGGCAAACTGAAGGGAAAGCATCTGCGCCACGCGTGGCTATTTTCCTCTGCAATTCAACTTCGCTGGAAGCTTTTTAAATTCCAGCTGAAGTTCTCACGTTTTAACACATCTGGGGCTCTTCACGCCGTCTTCGAAACAGTGCATCGCAGCTTGCTAATTTCTCGTGGGTTCGCACATTCAACCAATTGGATTGAAGACAGGGAGCACGGGCACGAGCCCTGGTGAACGGATGCCATGCCCGACCGGGCGGTACATGCTGAAACCTGCGCTTAGCGATGAAAAAGTTGCTTCGTGATTGCTTTTTAGCCAGTGAGTGCGTAAGTGACACCTTTTTTTTGGGTGTGTGTTCACCTGGTTCCACCCGAAGTGACTGGATCCCATGCTGCTAGGACATGCTGGATCATGTACTAGAGGTGGTTGTGGTTCTGCCCCCCCTTGCTCCCACAAATAAAGGTTGAAGTCGTTGTTGTTGTTGTCAGGGGCTGGTGTGGGCACGGTGGCTTTTTGCTTGCAAAGTTGTGCTTTGTCCTTCTTGTACAGGAGTAGTTGTTGTTCGGCCCCCCCTAAAAAAAGTCTTGAAGTTGTTGTTGTTTGCCCCCCCAAATTTAGGTTGAGGTTGTGGCTTGTTGCTTGCAAAGTTATGCGTTTTCCTTCTGGTGCTGAAGTAGTTGTTGTTCTGCCCCCCCAAAAAAAGTTGGAGTTGTTGTTGTTGCCGGGGATGGGGAGGGGCGCGCTGGCTTCTTGCTTGCAAAGCTGTGCTTTTCCCTTCTTGTACGGAAGTAGTTCTTGTTGTCTGCCCCCCCCAAAAAAGGTCGGAGTTGTTGTTGTTGTCGGGGTGGTGTGGGCGGAGCCTGATCTCCGCACTCTTGTGTTTTCTTGTTTTCTTGTCATGTCTCTTCTTACGTGGGAGGAATTATTGTCCGGCCCCCCCCAAAAAAGGTTGAAGTTGTTGTTGTTGTTGTTGTTGTTGTGGAGGTGTGGGGGGGAGTGCGCCTTTGGCCCTTGTCTGCAGACCCTCTATTCCATTTGGACGTTATTGTTATTGTCACCGGGGGGGTTCAAAAAAAACGGTTTCATACGCCCTCGACGAGTGAGAAGATGAAAAATGGCCGACTGTTTCACTTTACTTAACCGAATTACTAGGTTGAAAATTGTAAATTCAGAGATCAGGTCGTTGCTTCGCTCTCCTGCTTAGACAAGCATTCCCCGAGGGGTTCATGCCACCGTGACGAATCCAGCATGAATCACACACTTGCTCAGAACAATCTTTGCGAATTCTGATGTGGAATGCAACGGACGTGCAAAAACCCCAATTGACACGAAGAATGAAATTATATGGATGTGGGTCAAAATGGAAGACCTAGGGGACCACAGATGTTAGTCTAGTTTAGTATTAACCATCCAATTATTGGGGTACCTAATTTTGACCCATACCCATATAGAATTATGTAAAGACGTATAATCACAGTAGACATTGACCATACAACAGCGATGAAATATATGTCCCCCCAGCTGCGTCTTATATGCGCCCAGGGGCGGGACTATATATGTATATAAGCAGGTACGTTTACGCAGGAACATTGCAACGTCTTCGTTGGCCGCTGACTGCAATGTTCCCCAGCGGCCCCCTGCACTAATAAGAAGTTTTACATCTATACAGATGGTACACATACACAAACTTCAACACACAACACTTTCACACACACACACAGCATTGTCACACACACACACACAACTCTTTCACACAGCACTCTTTCACACAGCACTCTTTCACACAGCACTCTTTCACACACACACACAAAACTTTTGTCACATACAACTCTCTCACACGCACCTCTTTTGTACACAACTCTTTCACACATAACTCTTTCACACACACACAGCATTGTCACACACACACACACAACTCTTTCACACACCACTCTTTCACACACCACTCTTTCACACACACACACAAAACTTTTGTCACATACAACTGTCTCACACGCACCTCTTTTGTACACAACTCTTTCACACATAACTCTTTCACACACACAAACTTGAACACACAAACTTCAGCACACAACACTTTCACACACACACAACATTGCCACACATGATTCTTTCACACAGAACTCTTTCAAACACACGCAACCTTTCACACACAACTCTATCACACACAACATTGTCACACACACACACACTCTTTCACATACAGCACTTCACGTGTAGCTATTTCACACACAACTCTTCAACGCAACTCTTTCACACACAACTCTGTCGCACACAACTCTTTCAACACAACTCTTCCACACGCAGCTGTTGTGCACACAACTCTTTCACACACAACTCTTTGACATACAGCACTTTCACATACAACTCTTGGAAACAACCGGTGCTCCACCATCTCCTGTGTTTTTCTTGCCTTTCCCATCCACTTTCTCTACTGTTTGGAGCTTATTGGAAGAAATGGATATGTGGGGTTATTTGGTCCTTCAATTGTTTTTTTGGCTCTAACGAGGACTTGGTTCTATCCACGCAATGGAGAAAATATCCACAGCATAGCCGCAGACTACGAGAGGCTCTTCAAGAGTGCCTTGGCACTGGGAAACAAACTGCGTGTTGTCCAAAATGGCACATTTTGCGATGCGCAATAGCGCCACATTTCTCTTGAAACTGAGATCAAACTGGCATCCCTTGACCACCATCTTGCTTCAATCGAACGCTTTGGGCTTTGAACTTTGTTTGATTTAGGTCTGGTATACCAGCTGACAGGATAGTGGCAGTCCTAGTTGCGTCTAGCCGTCAAAAAACTGCCCGTCTTGTTTAATGCCTTGTCATCCAGCTCTGTACTACTATTAGCAGAAGTATCATGTTTGGACACTGCATGTCACTTGGGTTCTCTGCAACGCTCCTGAAATTTGGTGCCAAGCAGAGCTGAGCAAACTACGATTTGAAGCCTAAGGTGGGCCAAACCCCGTCTTGGGCCCAGACTGGCTGACTGGTTACTGTGCCAACTGATCCAATGCACAACCAACTCTGCTAGGGGAGGTTATATAATCCGAGCACGCGAGCGCTAAAATCCAGATATTTAAATTTCAGAGTCAAGCTGGGTTGGCTTTGTAGTGTGGATTGCGACGGAGTGAATGATCGGAGTTGCAGCAAGCCTGCAGGAAAGGCTCAGCTTTCACGGGTCTACGATCACCCCGCAATTGTGAATAACGGACAAAAGTTCTTGAGGTTGCCTGAAAGCAAATGTGCTCATTGGATATAAATGTAAAAAGGTTGCTTTCTGTTCTGGCCGCTTTGCGACGAAAACCGCCCGCCACACTGGAAGTGTTTGCTTTGGTGTGGGGACGGAGATTGCTGCGGCGTAGCTTGGGTATTTCTTTTGAAAAGGAGAAAAATGAACCATTTGCATCTTTGTTGAGCAACCGTTGGCCCCCATGTTGACCCCATGTTGAGCCTACGGTCGGTGTTGTCGCAATTTTGGGCCTATCTTGGACCTATGTTGGCAGCTTCGCCAATTTTCTGACCTTTTCAAAACTGTGGAAAAACCCACCATTCTAGAGTCAAAATTCCACCCCAAGCTAAAACTTAATAGCTATTGCAGTTGCTTCTGGATCATGCGTACACGCAAAAAACGCATCGGCACCTTCGGTGTGTGCTGATTTTTACATTTTGTTTCTGATTTGTGGAATGTATGAATCAACTAGAAGAGGTCTTCTTTTTCTATACCTCCATAGCCACCTGAGGTCTCTTTGTGGAGGTCCTGGCTGCCGCGTCCAGGCAGGGATAATAATCTGCTCCTGAAAACTGCAAAGAGACTTGGCAAAACATGCGGAGGTACAAACCTCCAGTTCCCTCATGCATCCAGGATTGCCAGATTGCCAGGAAATCAAAGCTTTTCTAGACTCCCATGCTGAACTCCTGGACGATGGGAAGCACTGGGCTGCTGTTGATGATGAAGATCTTTCTGCACAGGCAACACTACAAATTTCAATATGTGACCGCTTAATGTTTGCCTGAGAAGCAAAGATGGAACCGTTTCATTAGCTTATGGTGCTGGAGCTTCACGACTTCAGGATCCAGAGTTTATGCAAGGTCACTTTGTCCCAACCTTAACAGAGTCTCCAATCCATTCTTGATTGTGTTGACGACGCGAAGGCCTGCCTCATCCTGCTTCCTGGCCTTATTTTTCATTGTGACCTTGGTTGCCAAGGTACAAACAAATCCGTTGCAAGGTTTGACGGAGAAACGTGCAAAGGAGCTCGAGAATGTCCTGGGGGCGTCTTGGCCAAGAGAAGTCTGATGCTTTCAGAAATTTGCTTTTGTGATGGATTGGAAACTTGCTGATGCTCTCCTATAGGTCTCTCAATTAAGGACTTTGCACAACTCTGCATGACTTTGCATGACTCTGCGGCACTATAGGTGGACAAAGAAGACGCCACCTTTTGGCCAGCACCTGGCCAGCGATTGGGATTTTCCAACATTGCTGTGCTGGAGATCTGCAGATCCGTCCATCTCTGGCCAGCACAATCCGCAACGTGATTTGAACTGCCTTGGCTTGAAAAGATTCTTATGAATCGTTTGCTTTGTTTCTTGAGGTGCTAGCCAAAGTTGCCAACAAAGCTGGCATTCTGAGAGCTCTGTAGTGTCTTTAACGTGACATAGCTGAGAAGGCAAGGGACAAAACAGGTTGGCTCCCGACACTCAACTTGTGGTGTTTGGGCAGCCCCTTCAAGCTCGGTCATCGTTGGGTCATTGTGCTCTCATGTCTTCCGCTTCCTTACTATTCTTGGCAGTCGCCCTTATGTCCAAGGTGCTGGAAAAAGCTCCCTCTGGCTTTGCTGACTCCAGTTGCGTGTGCGTCGGGATGCTAGAAATCTGAACACATGCTGATATTTTTCGCTCGAAAAATGACAACAGACTTTGCGGTTTATGATTTACAACTGTTCACCTAGAAATGGACATTTGACAGTGCAAAACATAGAAATCGCAAGCTATACAAGCGGGCTACCGCAGTCTAGGATCATTGATGCATGGCTTTGACTGATCCAAGTGCCATATCTCTCGTGCTTGATAGATTCCCAAGGTCTTTGCTATGAAGGGCAAGTTCCTTTCAGAGTCAGAGACTTTGGAAAAGATGGGAAACTTGGATGCTTTAATCTTGGGACAGGTGGGATACGCCGTTGGAAATTGAAAACATCATTTTGCATGTCATGTAAACTGTTAGACCGGTGATGTTGACACCCAAAGCCGCTCAATAAAATCTCTGACCTCCTTCAAGACGGCATCCTGTTTGTCCGGTTTGAGGAGTTCAAGATGGAGTTCAGCTGATTGCAGTCGTCAAGCAACCACCTTAAAACCAGTCGCAGTCCATATTTGGCCTCCGTACTCGCAATCAATCAATGCCCTTTGCCCTTTGCGTTTCGCTGCCATAAGGCCAAAGAGCGCACCGCGCTGACCCTGACTGCCAATGTGAGCTCATTGTGGCTGTGTCCTGACATCTGTGTGGATAGTTCATCCCTGTTGCAATGTTCATCTTCCCCTGGCACTTGGATAGACAACATGTCTGTCAAGCGCTGGAATAAAATTCGGGCTGAACATGCGAGTCTCAGGTGGATCCTCTTGAGCCACTGGTAGAGGTGCAAATACAGGTTCAAAAGTCTCAAGCTCGCTGATATGGAACGCTCTCGCATGGGACTTCACCAAAGTTCAGCATCGTTTTGCGACGATTTTCTGATGACGATGTAGCTTGTTGCAGAAAAATCTTCTCAGCAATGGACCAGCTGTCCACAATGTCAGTTCCATTCTGGTCCCGCTGTCCAGCAGCAGCCCCAGCGCCAAGCTAGTGCGCAAGATGTGCGGTGTGCTCGCAGCGTGGTCATCGTCTCAAGCAAGATGTCGACATAGTCAGCAGGTGGATATTTAGTATCTTAAGTCTTAGGACTTGTTCAAAGCTCATTGCGAGGGAGAGCGAGCCAGTTTCCGAATCGTTGTCCTTGCTTTGTTGTTTTTGATGCCTTGGCTCTTTCTAAGGGTAATAACGGTATAACGGCAAGAACAACATCACGCCGAGTATTTTTTTTCCAAGCAGTCTGAAGCTTTCCCCAAAGGGGAGCTCACACCTGCGCTTATGGATTTCGACCGCAGAGAAACATCTGAGGACTCTCGACTAATTGAGAAATTGAAAGAGTACCCAGTGTCATTGAAATCTTGACCTTCTGGTCAGCAAAGGGACCCCTTGAGTGATAGCATCACTGGGAAATATAATGAAATATGCTACTGGCAGTCAACTGGTAGTACGCTGCACCATTTCAACTTATTCGCATCATTTCTTGTGGTGTTTGGGTGTAATTTTGCTTTCTTTACACATTGAGAGTTGTGGATTTTTTGTTTGTGTGCAGGAATTGTCGCGAGCATTGCAAGCATTGAACTCACCAAGATCTCCAGAACGGCAAGCCCGGCAAGCTACCAAATTTCTGAATTCAGCAGCCGGACCACCTGCAACTCGTACTCTGCGCCGAATTCTCTTGTGATAAGTGCAATTGACTGCCAGGTCGTTTGTGGCCCACCAGAACAGAGAGGCCTTTCCTGAGCAAGGATTATCGAGAACCTTCAAGGACATCAAATTTCTTTTTGAAAACAGCATTGAGATACAGTACTTCCTTGCTTTGCCGAGATTTTGAGAGTTTAGCACCTCTAATAACCAAACACAGTTTTGCTTCAAAGGGATTTGCACTATGGCCACTATGGCCACGCACTACTTCTCTGTGTTTTTTCAACGATTTGCAGTTTCGAAAACAACCCTGGTTCAATCGGTTCCAAACAACAAGCAGAACGAACGCACAAACAAAATCACACATTTCAAGTTACCAGCATCCAATAGCCAAATCAAGCACACTCCCAACCAAATCACCAACTTGCAACATGTGAATCAAAACATGCCAAACAACAAGCAAATCAAAAATCAGATGTCTCGAGCTACAATATCCAAACCACAAAATACAAATCAAGTACCAGACTCCAACCACTTCCCAAAGTTCCAACATGTGGATTATAACCAAGCCAAACAAGAAGTACTGCGTACTAGCTTCTACGCCGAAACAATTCAGAGCACACACCATGCCTCCGACAACATTGCCCACGAAGACGTGGATCAAAGCACATCTTTCAAACCACAAACTTCCAAACAGTCCTAACGTTACAAATCCGATGCCCAAGTCTTACCACTTTTTGATTTTTTGCTTTGCTCCCCTTTGAATCAAAACAAAAACAGTGCTTCCACTGCGCACCTGCTCAGCTACAGACCCACCAACGGCCCTGAAGTTTACAGGGCAAAAAAATCAATGGGGAACGAAATAGACACTGAAGATTACAGCATACAACCGATACAACCATTCAGTGGGTGGAACCCCTATACTACATGCGCTGGATCAGGACATTTTCGGAAGAGTTGCACATACTTGAAGACTGGCAACGAAATAGGGAGAAGGAACAACTAGCGGAAGCATTCTCAGCCGGGAATGGTCCTGGACCAGCAAAATGATGGAGTCCTTGCGAGACCTAACGCGAAATGAATAGAGAAACCACGAAAGCTAGCTTGTGCTAACTGAAGTTGTTCTTGCCTTAGCAAGGAATGGGTAGGTAGCGGTAGCAGGACCGTTGTATCCCTGAACCTTTCCGACTTATACCCCCCAAAAATTTCCTAAAACATCCTAAAACCTTCATTCTGAGATTAACATCAACATACATAACATACATAACAACAGTTTTGAAATGACATTTTGACTTCATTCAGCGCTTCTTTTTTCACAATAACAGTCCTTTCGTGCGCTTGTGTGGGCAGGCCCTGCCACGTTGCCCAAAGCTCTCTGATCCAAAAAGGGTTCCCGTTCCCATCGGTTCCCGTGGGTTCCCCGTATTTTTGTTGTCAGGAGCTTATTGTGACCTGCAAGGATTCGCGGACAATATCATTAAAGACGTTGAGGAACTCACCGGGCCTCCTGATCCTGAGAGCCACTTGCTTTGAATTGGCGGTATAGAAATTGCGAACCGAAGGTACACCGCACGTATTGTGTATTTGGCACACCACTGGAAAGCTGAACCAAATATCTTTTCGATTAAGTATGAATTATGTTTCTAGATTCCATTCCGACCTGACTAAGTCTCACTTTCCTTCGTTAAAACTGGTCCTCTTTCGTCTTTAATCGTCTTTAAGACCACTGCGGGAAATTTATGTGGAGCTGAAGGGTTCCGTTTTCACGTATCCGATGTATCCTTCCTTTCCCTCCCATTCGGATCTGGCCAAACTTGTGATGTCAACTTGTCAACCCTATTTGCCTATTTGCATTGATTTATCCATATTTATCCTAAGGTGTGGCATACCTACGGGATTTGGGTTGGTGCGTGTGTGTACTTCATCATTTCCGCAAACCTGATGCTGGCGTGGTATATTGATTGGTACAGAACCAGCCTGACCTGTAGTGGCAATGAGCGGCGGCTTGTTTGCAAACTGAATGTCCGATTTCATCCATGTCAGTAGAGCTTTATTTCTTTTTTCCCTTGCATCAGGCTGTGATGGCAGCAAGTAGCACAGACAATTTGCTGCATTTGTGTTTGGAAGACCAGGTGCATCCAGTCGCAATTGCTTGACTTTCCTTTGGCGCCTTTCTTCGCGATTTTTTGCCGCAGCTGGCTCATGGTGTGCATCATGGGAGACTTGCTGAGATTCTGCTTTATTCTAGCGAGAGATGTTTGGGAAGATGACGCGCAACTTTCTGGAGAACTTAGTTGCTTTCTCTCTTTCCACGAACCCACGCAATCATGATTGTGCAGATTGTAGTAGGTTCGCGTATTGGACAGATTGGCTTATCATTTTGGCGCAGTTCTGCAGACTTTGCAGATCCGGAAGATTTTGGCATCTAAGGTTTGTGAGTTATCGTCGTGTGTGCTGCTGCGACTTTGAGCTTGATGAGGAGACGAGCTTGAGGGCTGCTGGCGGAGGGTGGTCCAAAAGATCTAAGGCTGGATGTTTCTCGTCTTGAATGGGTGTCATTTTGTGTACCTGGTCTCGGTACCATTTGGATAATCACTTCTAGCTAACCAATGACGACTCAAATGCAAAATTATCAACTCAATGGCTCTCACAATTTGTTGCTTGCAGCCACTTGCAGCTGGAAGATTACTCTTGAAAATCAGATTGCGTAATATCAAGTTTCCTCTTGGCAACTGTTGGAATTTGCTTCTTGTCAGTGGGCAAGGCAATCGAGTGGACAGTTGTTGACATGTTGGAATATCAGATGCTGCATGACAGATAGTGAAAAAACTGCACTCTAATTCAGGTTTTTTAATACTAGTAACAAAACTACCGTGAAACTTACGAGCTGTGATTTTGATGGGAAGTTGGCGGAAATGAACCGAATTTGGACACATGGTATAGGAACGCAAGTAGCATATGGTAGACATGTTTGCTACTTAGACTCCTTTGCTGAAGATTTGGAAAAACACTCACTGAATGTCTTGCCATGTGGATATCGTTTACATCCGTTGACATCCGTCGACCCAGGCTGTGGAATTGTGGATGTGCTTCTGCAGCTGTCGATTTATGTGGCCTTGGACATTATGCCTTTGGTCCGTTTCATGATAGTCTACTTTAGCACAGGACCAGGACAACTTGGGCAGGCAAGGGCGAAAAGGGAAAAGATGTTTTCGGAGCGTACAGCAATCTGGTTGTGCGAACCAAGGTGTTCTAAACAATTTAGGAAGTTGCACAACCACCACAATTAAAAGTAGCTAAATCAAAACTAATTTGCACACAGAGAATCTCTTGCAATCTGTTGCATATTTCCATCACTTAACGCATGATTATTTGCAGGCAGTGGTGGCAGCCTCTGTAAGCCTGGCAGCTGGCAACTGATCTGCAGTGGGGAGCACCACCAACCGGGTTGCTACCGTCGTCGGAACTGATATTTGGCCCAACACTGAATCTCATTGAAACATATTGAAACAGATTTTATTTGATACCAAATCCTGTTTTCCCAACCCATAAAACTCTTCCAACCTTTGGATCCTTCGCACATGCACATGAGAAACAGGCACCGATGACGGACTGAATTTCCCCCTCATTAAAACTTTTGCTCAGACTTTCCACTGCACGCTCCTCTCCATATCTCAGGCTGGCTTCAGATCCTGCGAAAGTATGATTTAACAAACGCTAGCCTCGGTCCTTTAATGAGGAACAGAACATGTAATTCTCCCCAGCACAGATCTTTCCAATCTTTGCAACAGTGCTTTTCCGGCAGCCCGAGCACGACATCCGCGTTTTGTCACTAGCGCGGAAAGAATTGACTTTTCAGTGACTTGAGTTGAAAACTAGCTGTTTAGGAGCAGTGTTTGGACATCCCGGTTTCAAAAAACATCAAAAAACAAAGTGGCAAAAACTGCTGAAGTTTGCAAATGAGTCCAAACATGACTCTTGTGGGAAATCTAGATTTCTCCCTGGAACAACCACTGTTGTTGGATGCGAATTCTTCACAACACTCTGAGCGCAAATTCCAGCACTTGTTCAGCATGCTCTCACTTGGCTGCCAGAAGGAGCGGGTGTATTCCCTTTTTTTCCATTTGATTTTTTGGGTTCATTCGGTTCATTGATTTAGAGAAAAACACAGTGGATCTCATGTTCATCAGTATTGACTCTGGGTTGGACTCGTCGGACTAGGTAGTTGCGCCCACGCATTCGTGTTCTACCTGGCCATGTGGACAACTGACATCGTCACAAAGTGCCAGGCCAGCAAACTAGGCAAACTAGGCAAACTAATAGCGCTTGCAATGCAGTCACTCTCAGAAAGCACAAGTTCGCACAAGTTGGAATATAAATTCAACGTGATTCGACGTCATTCAATGTGATTCTGCCACCTCTGCACGATCACAGAAATTGTTGAAGGCATTCAGCGCTGCTTGTCGGGGTGTTGCGCGACTACAGCCATGCGAGTATCCAGGAGAAACTCGTGTTGACTCGACAAACGGGATCTTATTCTCGTTATTCTCGCGCTTCTCGCAGTTGGTAAAAGGAGCTGGAGATGTGTTGCACATGTTGCACGTCATTCACAGGATCGTCCCTTCAGAACTTCCAATGGGCGGGCGGCTTCGGAGACAGGCAAGGCATGGCAAGGCACTTCGATTCATTGTCAAAGGTAATTCAAAGGTCGCATTTGGGATCTTCGATTCCTCTATATTCCTCTTCTTGATTGTCATTTACTGTCTTTGTTTCTTGACCAGAACTATTTACTGCTGACAGCAATCGCTCCGCAGGGTGGTCCTCAAACAAACATATTTTGGATTAAGCCATCAATAAGCAAACGTGCAGCAAAATGGTGTAAGATATCTGTAATATCCAAGGTTGCCACCTGAAATTGTGACATTTGGTGACGACTCTGGAGAAATGATTTCCAGACAGGTGCTAGGCCCCTAGGACAGCCCGACTCAAGGTATACAAGGTATTTTAGATCCATACTCAAAGCCTTGCACAATGATGGAGATGACATGAGCCAACAGGATGTTGGACAACCTTGAATCTGCACGCTGCATCTCAGTGGTCGAGGCCACCCTCGGGTGAGCAGTTGGAAATGGGGATCCCTATGGCCCATGGCCATAGCCAATGGCCATATATTGTGGATTATGATACGTTATGATACGTTATGATACGTTGTGATACGTTGTGATACGTTATGATACGTTACCAGTAGTACCCGACAAGGCGGTGGCGGAAGTTTCAAAAATATGAAACCTAAAGGAGAGAGTGGCTGTCGTGAATCACGGATGGCAGAGCGAACCGATTGATGGACCGAAAGGTGATTGGAGTTGTGTTTTCTGGAGTGGTTGCAATGGTTGCAGTGGTCGCCTCACCACAACTGCTGAATATAGTGTGGTGTAGTGCAGTTGTAGTTGTAGTTGCATTTGGAACTGTAGTTGTAGTGTAGTGTAGTGGAGTTGTAGTTGTAATGTAGTGTAATTAGTGTAGTTGCAAGTGCAGTGTTGCAGTTGTAGTCGTGGTGTGGTGTAATTAGTGTATTGTAGTGCAGTGTGATGTCATGGAGTGTTGTGTAGTGTAGTGTGGTATAGTGTAGTGTAGTCTAGTGTAGTGTAAGGTAGTGTAGTTGTAGTTGTAGTGTAGTGCAGTGTAATTAGTGTAATTAGTGTAGTGTAGTGTAGTGGTAGTTGTAGTTGAAGTTGCAGTTGTAGCTGTAGTTGGAGTTGTAGTGTAGTGCAATGTAATCAGTGTAGTGTAGCGTTGTGTAATGTATTGTGGTTGTAGTTGTAGCTGTATTTGTAGCTGTAGTGTGCTGCAGTGTAATTAGTTTAGTGTAGTGTAGTTGTAATTGCAGTTGGGGTAGTGGTAGTGGTAGTGGTAGTGGTAGTGGTAGTAGTAGTAGTAGTAGTCGTAGTCGTAGTCGTAGTCGTAGTCGTTGTCTTAGTCGTAGTCGTAGTCGTAGTCGTAGTCGTAGTGGTAGTGGTAGTGGTAGTGGTAGTGGTAGTGGTAGTGGTAGTGGTAGTGGTAGTAGTAGTAGTAGGAGTAGCAGTAGCAGTAGCAGTAGCAGTAGCAGTAGCAGTAGCAGTAGCAGGAGCAGCAGTAGTAGTAGTAGTCGTCGTCGTCGTCGTCGTCGTCGTCGTAGTCGTAGTCGTAGTAGTAAGTAGTAAGTAGTAAGTAGTAAGTAGTAGTTTTTGTTTTTGTAGTTGTAGTGTAATTGGTGTAGTGTAGTGTAATTAGATGTAATTACTGTAGCGTAGTTTAATGTAATTAGTGTAGTGTAATGTAGCGTAGTATATTTGTATTTGTAGTTGTAGCGGTAGTGTGGTGTAGTTCTAGTTGTAGTTGTAATTGTCTATCTGTCTGTCTGTCTGTCTGTCTGCCTGCCTGCCTGCCTGTCTGTCTGTCTGTCTGTCTGTCTATCAAAACGCAGCAATTCTGCGAGACTTCCTCAACTTTCTAAGTTGACAACATCAAAAACGACACAATTCTGCGAGACTTCCTTCAAAAATGGAAAGTTGAGTGCAGAGCTGACGGCCTCGTACCAATGCGTTTCGCGATTTTTCCACTCGACCTGTCTAAAGTACTGCGCCTGCCACGAAAGGGAGATGCCAGGTCATACGAAGTGCTGCACCTGTCACGCAAAATCATCTTCCCAAAACTGAAGATCTGATGCTCCAAAATGGAACCCCTCTCAGGAAATCAGAGCCCGGACCTCCTAACAGCTCTGATGAACATGTCTCTTGTACTGCGCCTGCCACGGAAAATGCATCTTTGCAGATCCTCTTCAGATGCCCCACGCCTGCCATCATTCTTGGAAATGCTACAAATCCCTCACGTTTTGCTCACTTTTGACAAGTTGCACAATCCCTTGCGCCTGCCACGCGAAACGACATACCGCTCAGTTTTTTACACTTTTGACTTTGAAATGTGCTTCGCGCCACAACCGCGTGCAATTTTTCATCTCTCATCTGGCCAGCTGGCTCCGCACCGGCCGCTTTCGCGAGCCTACTTTTCGACCCTCCGGAGCCAGAAATCATTGGACAAACACAGTGTTTTTCGGCTTTCCTACCTTTTCGCGCACCTGGATCTTCTTTCTTCTTAGACTTTCTCTTTATTGATCTTCTATCTTCTTCTCTTCTCTTCTCTTCTCTTCTCTGACTCTTCCCATCTCTGCTTTTCATCTGTCCATATTGTCGGAAGTTTGACTTCTAAACTTTCTTCGATGATACGGTATGAAACGATATGAAACATTGGGCTACGTTGTGCTACGTTGTGCTACGTTGTGACATGTTATGATACGTTTTGATACGTTGTGATACGTTGTGATACGTTGTGATACGTTGTGATACGTTGTGATACGTTGTGATACGTTGTGATACGTTGTGATACGTTGTGATACGTGGTGATACGTGGTGATACGTGGTGATACGTTGTGATACGTTGTGATACGTTGTGATACGATGTGATACGCTGTGATGCGTTGTGATGCGTTGTGATACCTGTTGATACGTTGTGATACGTGGTGATACGTTGTGATACGTTGTGATACGCCGCTGTGATACGTGGTGATACGTTGTGATACGTTGTGATACCTTGTGATACGCTGTGGTACGTTGTGATACGTTGTGATACCTTTTGATACATTGCGATACGTTGTGATACGTGGTGATACGTTGTGATACGCTGTGATACGTTGTGATACGTTGGTGATACGTTGTGATACGTTGTGATACGCTGTGTTACGTTGTGATACGTTGTGATACGTTTTGATACGTTGTGATACGTTGTGATACGTGGTGATACGTGGTGATACGTGGTGATACGTTGTGATACGTGGTGATACGTGTGATACGTGGTGATACGTTGTGATATGTTGTGATACGTTGTGGTACGGTGTGATACGTGGTGATACGTGGTGATACGTTATACGTTGTGATACGTGGTGATACGTTGTGATACGCCGCTGTGATACGTGGTGATACGTTGTGATACGTGGTGATACGTGGTGATACGTTGTGATACGTTGTGATACGTTGTGATACGTTGTGATATGTTGTGATACGTTGTGATACGTTGTGATACGTTGTGATACGTGGTGATACGTGGTGATACGTGTTGATACGTGGTGATACGTGGTGATACGTTGTTGTGATACGTTGTGATACGCTGTGTTACGTTGTGATACGTTGTGATACGTTTTGATACGTTGTGATACGTTGTGATACGTGGTGATACGTGGTGATACGTGGTGATACGTGGTGATACGTGGTGATACGTGGTGATACGTTGTGATACGTTGTGATACGTTGTGATACGTTGTGAGATACGTTGTGAGATACGTTGTGATACGTGGTGATACGTGGTGATACGTGGTGATACGTGGTGATACGTTTTGATACGTTTTGATACGTTGTGATACATGGTGATACGTTGTGATACGTTGTGATACGTTGTGATACGTTAATATATGTTTCAATGCCTGCTGCTGTCGGTTGCTGTTTTGTCTGCATGTCTCTGAGCAAAACAACCCATTGCGATGTTTGCGATGCATCGAGGACATCCCGGATGGACCACCTGACTTTGTTTCACCTTTGAGCAGTGAAGCGGGCTCCGCGGTGCTGACCTTGGAAAGAACGGCAGATACCACTCGGATATCGCTCAGATACCATTGAACCAATTCATTTTTGCAGTTGTCAGGTTGTTGTCACGAAGATTCATGTTTTGTTTGTAAATAAAGAGCTGTCGAATCTTGATGAAGATCACGTTGAGGCAGGTTTAGCAACAAGTAGGTCTGCTCCATGAGGTGCTATGACATCTTTGCAATCTGGAAAAAAATGCGTGGGAAGATGGGCCACTTGAGGTTTGTCAGAGCCAAGCTGCGCCTTTGGATGGAACCCTGACTGATCCGTCCATAGCCAGGTGTGCTTGCTATCATTGGAACAAGTGGATCTAATCTACTTTCCCTTTTTCAAGCTGGAATGCATGTTCATATTCCACTTTGTAGAGACCGGAGCAAAATCATGAGCGAAAGAAACCTTTCTCAGCACGCTTTGAAACAGTCGCTTCCGAACCCACTTCCGTTCCTTTTTCAGCCTGCCAGGTTTCCTAACATCAGGATGCCATTGCAAATGGAGGTGTGCCGACGTGTGGGCTGCACAAAGAATGCAAAAAGAAGTATAGTCAAGAAGATTAACAGGTTCCTTCCAGATTTCCTAAATTATTCAGTCAGGTCTTGGTGCAAGGTCCACATATTCTCGCCAGATAGGCGAGCAGCTCTTCTACAGCTTTGCCAGTTTTGTCCTCACACGAAAGGGTTTGGAAGTGCACAGCCACAAGGGAATCCAGGGAATCTAAGACTCCGAAGAGTTGGCAGTCCGAAGAATCTGATATCAGTGATATCAGTGAGATCCTTTTGGGATCCGCTAGTTCAATGAGCAACGAGTGAGCATCCTTGGGTTCAACGAGTTTGCTCTGAGGTTTTTCGTCCCAAGCCAGATTTGACGATCCAGTATAGCCCAAGCTGGGGTAGCTATCTGGTGACCTGCGTTGATGGGGAACTGTCAAAGGACTATTTGGTCAAAGACAGGCGGGCCCCAAGTTGCCAACGACAGGTCTCTATGGACAAGCAAATGTACATTGTGAAGCCCTGCTGATCAGGTTTGACAAAGACATCCCTTTGTTGAAAGACCGCAGCTTTGTTCCGCAGAAAGATCAATTTCCTTTGGAGATTTGGCGGCAGGCGCGCTGATAACGTGCAAGTTACTATAGACATTTGTAGATCAGGACTTTGATTCGGCGCAAGTTGCAAGCAGATAGACTCAGATAGATTATTTGCAAAGTCAATAGGTTCCGGTGCCCCTGTGCCCCTGGAGGTGAAGAGGCTCGGTTTTCTGCAGGAAGGGATAGCATTTGTAGACTCAGGAGGGTCAACGAGTCATTGCGCGTCATTGCGCGTTGAGCATTTCGTTTTCAACACGCGAAGCTTGAGCTGGAGAGCGGTGCAAATATGTGCAAGCGATTTCATTTGCATTTGGTTTCAGGGGTGGTTTCTCCCTGGTTCCTGCAGCTCAAGAGTGTACCGGAAGTAGATGCTGTCACTGGCATGTCTAGCATCAAGCATAAGCATTTGAACATTCTGTGCATTTTTATGCAGATTTTTCATCTTACATCTGAAGAACACCCTCCCAAATGGCTTCCTGCTGCAGGGAAGAACAAGAGTCACCCGTACACCTGGCTTGTTCTGCAGTTTGTGTCCCAAAACGAGGACTCGACCGACACCGACGAAGCGTGACGGCGTGACCAGCAACTGCACAGTCTGCACAGTCTGCAGTACTTGAGCAAGACTTGAGCCAGGCTGACAAGCGGAATATCTGCGTGTTCTTCTGCAAGGGCTGGTACCCAGCAAAGGTGCTTTGATGATTTTGATGGGTGATCAGATGGGTGATCACATCATATCACATCCTTTCAAAATGAACAAAGAGATTCGCAGATTCAGGGCCTGTGCAACTGGTTTCGCTAGGCATATGGTCAAAAGTGCCTGCCCCACTTGTTGTGCGTCACTACCTCAGAAAACTGCACGGGATTCGAACCGATCAAGTAGTTGGATTTAATTTAAGATTCCCTACAATTTGCCAATTTCTCCAAGAAAAAAACACTTGTCACATGGAGCCTGATATGGTTTATGGACCCCGATGGAGGAGTTACGTTTTAGTTTGTGGAACCATGAAGGTTTTCCACCTAGACTTTCAAGATAGTCCTCTACCCAAATCTGACAGAACAGAATGGCAAGTCCATGCAACAACTTCGTGTCAGCTTATATATATATATAGTTGGACAAGCTAGCCGGTTGTGCCGTGTGCCAGAGATCATACAAAAGAAAACCATAGCTCTCCGTGGGTAATTATTTTCAAAGTGAAAGAAACCAACATAGCAGCTCTGGCAACCTAGTGAACGTGGCCTGTCCTCATGAGCCAGTTTCTTGAATTGTTTTGCCCTGCTTGGCCATCCGCATCGATCCCAAGATTGGAGCAATAGCCCTTGGATTTCAAGCGGGCAACTCAATATTCTGTTGTGAGGTTTCTGTTGTCATCCTGGTAGGAATCTTTCTGAGATTTGGCTTGGTTTGAAAGAATTTGAGACAGTTCTTTAGCAAGGCTTCGACCTCGAGTGAAAAATAATGCATGAACTGGACCTCATACGCATAAGCTTTGCCAAATCGCGACTAATTCTTATCTTAAGGTCAGAAACTGGGGCCTTGTGCTGGCTGGAGCTGTTGTCGCTGTTTTTCTTGTGGAAGTCTCAGCTTCAAGACAGAAAGTGTAGACAGGAAGGCAAACTTTTCTCATTTTTTGTTTTTTTGCTGTCTTTCCCCAGACCATTTGTTCTTTTCAAAGTCTGCCACGGGAGCAGACTACCCGACCCTTCAGATCCTTTCAGCATCATCAGTAACTTTGAACCTCCGAGATCCTCCGAGTCATTGATCAAAGCTTCAGTCTGGAGTACGGCATTCAGCAAACTGCATTTTTGAAAGTTGCCGGTGGCAGGTTTTTGTATGGTTTCTACAAGGCACGTGGGTGCAGTGATAGAGCGATGCACTTTGTCCTTTCCAAATGTGGGATTGAAGCAGACAATTACAGTGTCTGTTGCTAGAAATTACGGTGTTGAGTTAGGCACCTCAGCTTCTTTTTCGGGCCTTCTCTCTTCGAATCCTTACATATAGAATATAGAATATTAAGACTCAAGGCCAAATATGATGCGGGGTGCCCGTATGGTCCCCTGTTCTTGCAGACTGTTGCTGTGCCCGCGAACAGCCGTATTTTGCTACTGCAGCTGGGCTCCGACCTGAGCCTGGTCAATGCTTTGCAAAGGCGAAATGGACAAATGAGAAAATCCAAGGAATTTTGTGACGGAAGTTGACAGAAGTTGACAGTTCTTGTCTGATTCTTCTCTGGAGAATTTGTGACAATGGATCCACTTCCAGGTCCTGGGAGCTCTGGGTTCAACACTCAGTCTTAGTGGTACGTTGCAATGCTAGGGCAGTTTGCTGCTAGGGCAGTTTGCTGCTGATCCAGGCTCTCCAAGCTTGGGGTGAGCACCATTGTGGTCTTCGCTACGACGTGCAAAGGTTTGATGCCTAGTCACACAGCCAGCAACGATACAGATCTTCTAGATTTGCATTGATTTTATTGATTTTATTTGTTTGACATTATTTGACCCCACACAGCTTCCTGTGCCGAGATTTCACGGTGGGAAGTGTTGGTGTAGAAAACAATTCTTTGGAGGTCACGGCGCATCACTTTCGGCGTGGTGGTGCTTCTCCAGGTGCCGCTGAAGCCCACACTAGACTCAGTAGACCTCACATTTGATCGCATCGACATCAGCCGCATTTTTAGATTGATAGATCACATGAACCTGTTAACAATCTAATTATTAGTTATTAGTTTAAAAGAATGGGAATACGGGCAAGGGTGGCTGTCGAGGGTTTTGGATCGGCTTTCCCTCAGCTTTTCTTGGTCTTGACTTGCAACTAAACATGGGCTCCTGCAATGGACTCCAGAAATCAAGGATGATTGGAAGAAATCACGGGGTACAGAGTTGTACCAAGCACATGCACACTTGCAAAGAGTGCAAGATATGGTGCACTGTATATATATATATACATACACACATTTATTGTATATATATATAAATACAGTCATACAATGTTATACAGTTATAGAGTTACTTTATGATTATATATAGAGTGACAGTATATAAAATTTCAACCTCAACACCAGAATTTCTTGGCCTTGATTGGCAATACGTGGGACGTGGGAGATGCACAATCTCCAGCTCTGCCTGCTGCTGAGGGAATGTTGTTCGCCACGTTGTACCAATGGATGGGCATGCTCGCAATGACCTTAGATTTTGAAACAAAGACGATGGAAAGACCAAGAGGCGAAACATAGGAAAAAGGCATTATATAAGGTGGTGACGGCCTGGTATAGCTTGTAGGAGCTCGACACCAAGCTAAAAGCAGCAGGATCACTTCCATCTGAATTCAACGTGCCGTGTTTCAGGTATGCTTCAGTGTTGTACTATTGGTATGTCTCAGGCTGGTCCAGTGGTTGACAGTATTTGCCGGTTGAAGATTTTGTTGTCTTATTTGGATCTTGCAAGTTGAATACAGTCATGCGATGAAGTGACAGTTCTACTTTGATTTTTATTCGCTTACTGATCGACAAAGTCAGTGGGTTTTTCAAACTGGATACAAAAACGTGGCTTGCAATGAGCAACTTGCTTATTGCCAACTGCAATCTCATCTTTAGACTCTTTCTTTCCAGCCATTGCCATTTTCTTCTGTGGTACCCTTGGCATGGCATCTATTGTTGATTAAACGCAGAGATTGCATGAATTACTTTGCTCCATTCTTGATTCTTGGAGTTACGTCATCCAGTGCCACAATGCTGGCGCGCAAGCACGATTGCTTGAGGGACACATGCCATGCCATGAAGAGTCACGCCAGTCAATTGACAATTGCCTCTACCGGAGGCACTGTATGGTGTACCGGGAACGACCATGGGGCTGGCTAGTAGGCGCGATCAATGCTGTTGTGATGATGGCATTTCAAGATCTTCAGCAACTTGCTGCCAAGCATTTTTTATGGTTCTATGTGATTATCAAATTGTTGCGTTTGCTAAGCTTTCAGGTCTTTCAGCAGAGTGTTGTCGGGTGGGGGATATTTCAAAGGCTCTCGCTGCAGTGCACGGTTCAAGCGCATCAGCGCCTTGTAGTTGCCGCAGGGCACGTCCTGACCCGATTACTCGCAGCTTTCTTAAGCTGTACTTTTCAAAAGGTCAAGCCCAACAGCCACATAAACTACCTGTGCGAGCACACAGTGCTTTGCTGCTTTGCTCTTGACAAGCCAAATTTAAGCAGACCAAGCTGACCAAGCATACTTGGACTGATGGCATCGTGCACCCCAACCAGTCAGGGGAAGATTGCAGACCGTT